AAAAACAGGTCCTCAGGTGAAGAACAGGGCTGTCGGAAAGACAGCGTCTGAATGACAGGTCTGTCTTTCCGACAGCCCTGTTCTTCACCTGAGGATGGCTGCTTGCGTTGTGGCCGAAACGTCGTGAGAATTGTATTTTATGATGTTTTATTTTTATTAATTTTATTATTTCCCTTCTACGTGACTTTACCGAAAGAACCAAGAAGATGCACAAGACGTTATTGTGAAGAGTCGACAGCTTACTGATTCTTCACCGATGTTGTGTTGTGGGCGCTCCGTAGCCTGAGTAACTCATAATCTCACGGAAGCCACGCACACCTGTGCAGCTCACACGGGGAATTGGCGAATCGCACGTGTGAAGAGATGATGGGCTCACAATAACGCATACCTGTGAGGGCAATGAGATGCCTGGAAGAGGCAGTAAAGCAGATAGGTTTCTCACCCATTCCACGCATGTTTGTGGGTTTTCTCCAGCCTCTTCTGTTACCCCGCACACGTAAAAAAGTATGCGTGGAAGTCGCCAAGTAAAAATAATCACACACCTGTCCGGCACATTCATTCATTGAGGCTTACCTGGGAAAATTAAACTGTCATCATTACACTCACGAGTGCTGCAATACATAAAAAAAAAATGGGAGTCTAATCAGGGAATGGAACATGTTAATCGGTTTAACCGTACTCTTTGATTCTTTCGGTAAAGTCACGTAGATAGAAAATTAATAGATCACGACGTGACTTTGCCGAAAGAACCAAAGAGTATGGATTCCTGCAGTCACGAAAGCTTCAAATCATGGTTTAACCACGATTTACATTCCGTCAGCTTTGTGATAACGACGCCGGCCGTTTGTAGTGAGAGCGGTTCTGCTTTCCATCGATGTGCACACTTTGTCATGCAGGGTAGCGGCGTTTCGCCCTGATAATGATGAAGCCGGTTTAAAATTGCTGTTTTTAATCACTTCTGTGAAACTCGCTGTGGAATTTTTGCCCGGTCGCTTTCCATATATGTGATGTGCAAAGCAACCTCGTATGACCAAGGTGCTTGCTTGTACGGCTCTCTGGCAAAGCTTGCATAGAGCTGAGGGCATTTCCCATGATTCATGGCAGCCTGGCCACCTTTTAACATTTCGTGCGTTTGATTGTATTCTCCGTGGCTTGTGTGGCATTAGCTCACGTGCACTGCCAATCAACGACTTTGTTTAATCACCAACGCATTTAACATTTACCGTATTCTCCCGATTATAAGACGCCCTTCTGTTTCTCACTGTATTTTAGAACCACAAGTTGAGGGTGTGCAGTAATTTAATCGGGCAGCTGCGTGTGTGAGACCAAAGGCGGCCGTGCGCGTTGTCCACACCACCACCTCGTGTGCCGTGGCCGGCCTTCATAGGTGCTGCTCGCTGAGAGCACTTGCCCCTGCAGTCCGTTTCAGGCTGTACACGGGTGATCTTTGTGTTATGAGACCAAATCTGCATGTCGTTGATTGACACCGGGTACAAGTTTGCGGCGGCGCATCTAACTATCCTGGGGATTTTATAATGTGGAGAAATTTGCTTTGTCATGAGCACATGCGGTTTGTCTAAATATCAGAATTGAAGTGCCGCGCGATTGACTTTGGGGGATGGGTGGGAGGGGAGGGATGTGTCGTGGGTTACGTGAACACAGGAGTCAGTGTCCCCCATGCACACCACACACACACGTCCACGCACACGTACGTCCACACACACACGTCTACACACGTACGTCCACACACACACATACGTACACACACACACACGCAGATCACTCTACTTGCCCGCACTGTGCCAGAACATGTAGTTTGAACCGAAGCGTAATTAGTAGCATTAACCATAGCCCGTCAAGTCTTTTGTAAAGAGTTATTTGGTGAACTTTGGCAACTACTTTTTGAAATAAATTTTGGGTTGCGAACGTTGCTTATTTAGACTTCATATGGTGTGAACTTTGCTGGGGGTTTTAAGCTCGTTTCTCTTATTTGCCGGTGTAGGCTCTATTAATGTATTCAGACATAACAGAGACTATCATTTTTCATGCTTTGTAATGGGTGGCGGGGCGAATAAGGGAGCGGAGAGAGGAAAATCACCACAATGTCCCAGAGCGTTATTAGATATGGTGATTTGGAATAGTTTTTTTTCCTCTCCCTCTTTTTGTACTCGCAGAAGTCCTTGTGCGGGTACACCCGGTGCTTGTCGCACGCGCGGTCCCCCGTTGAGTGGCTGGCCAAGCTGTCGGCGCGCCGTGTCCCCTAAACCCACACGGCCTGAACACCGGATAGAGCCGTTGCCGGCAGCACGTTTTGAGCAGCTGTTGTGGTGTCAACCTGCTGAGCAGAACATTACCATCCACATGAGCCATGCTTTATACGCTGCTGGACAAAGGCCTCCCACCCCCCACGGTTTCTTCTCGCTCCTGCACGTCAGCTGATCTCATGACTCTTGTCGCGAAGACGGGGTCGCCCTCCCGGACGGCGCGTGTCTTCCCTGCTTCGACTGCCATGCCATCGCCGGCCTTGTCCCCCTCGGCCATCGTCTCATCGAGCGATGTGTCCTGCCCAAGTTCGCTTGCACTCATCGTCAGTGGTGTCTCATTGTCAGCGGTGTCTCAAGCCGGTGGTGTCTCGTCTAATTCTTTGTTTTCAACCTCCGATCCTTGTGATTTTCATGAGCTCATTGCACTTTCAAGCACGCTTCTCTCTCTGCCTCTCGTGGTGCAGCGTTTTGACTGTTTGATTTCATCCTCCTGCGTCCATGTGTCCAATCCCATACCTCAGAGCAGATTTTATTCGCCCCGATTGAACACTTTCCTCGTCCAGGTTCATTGGCACGTCGCTCATCGTCGAGTGCTCAGTTTTACAAACGCGCACTCTCGCCTCGTCATTTCGTCATTTTCATCCAAGTCTACTTTGAACAGTAGCCCTCGGTTTAGATGCTATGTATTTACCTTAGTGTCTTTTTTTGTGTCGTCTTATTTACGTTTTGGTTTCCATCAAACCACTCTGCTCACGATCGCTCTTGGCCAACGTTCTCCGGGGGCATTTCTGAACAAGAGCTATATTGCTCGGCGGGCCTGACCTGGTAAAATAAAAATAGCTTCATAGTTTTTAATAATTTTAATGAAGGCCGGCACGCCACGGCACGGCACGGCGGGATGTGGGTGGCGAGCACCACGCCCTCTCTTGCGGTGATGTTTACACACCGCACGAGGCACTTATTTGAGGCTGAGTTGACCTCGGGGAGGCCCAGGACCGATGCAGATAATCATCGCTGGTGTTACAATGAAGCCGCTCCGTCGTGGCCGAGTGAGGAGAGCAGGAGAGCTGGACTGAAGCACGCCCGCCCGCCCTTGCGCGTGTCTCGCCGTGCACAACACGCTGACGCACGCACCCATCACCCGCCACAGCCCTGCTTAGAGCAGATCCGCGTGCCCCCAGGTGTGTTGGTCAGATAAAGAAGGGGGCTTTAGCGCTCCGAGATTAACCAGCGCGCTGGAGTTAAAGAGGCCAGGAGGTGACGAGTGGCAGAATCTCAAACATGGCACGGCCGTTTAAAACGAGGTTGGGGGGAATCGATTTTCGATTCGGCGCGTCTTCCCGTGCCACTATTCACTCTCCCCCCCCCCCCCCACCATTCTCCTCGTTGTGCAGCTTTACCTGGGAACACTCTTGACTCGGCCGTATTCACCTCCCGCACCCATCAGGGAGGGTATTGGGTCACTGCCCTGAGAGCACGCGCTGTCCCGTTTGACAAATGTGCTCGTGTGGTTTACGTATTAGCACGGTCGTCGCCCTACGTCTGTTTAATGTTTGTGTAACTTTAATTGCAATTGTTGCGTTGATCAGTCTAGGAATAATTGTCCCGAGCTGACTTGTGCTACCGGGGAATATATTATTTAACGCTGATTTATGTTCGTGCAATATTTTACATTTCTCACATGACATGGTCGTTTTTAGGCTGATTTATGTTTGTTTCATTGATGTCATGTTGGTCACTCAGATGACTCTTGCAAATGAGACTCCTATCCTGGTCCCTTTAGATCTCACCTGGTTACACAAAATCAACTTGACTTTCAAGTTCAAGTTTCATTTATTAGGTCTAGCCCTGTGAGCCATGCGGCTCTTGAGTCGGGTGCAACCGCAACAAACAGAGAACTTCTTGAAGCGACGACGCGCAACTTGACGAGGACTTGGTAGTAAATTTATCTTCGGATGACACTCACCAAAAAATATTTGCAAAAACGCTTCTGATTTAAAGCTTTCGTGACTGCAGGGATTCATATTCTTGGTTCTTTCGGTAAAGTCACGTAGAATGGAAAAAATAAAATAATAAATTATAAAACAAGATTATTTTTATTATTTTATTATTTCCCTTCTACGTGACTTTACCGAAAGAACCAACAATATAAAAACGCTTCTCTAATTGCGACTGGTTTAGGTGTCAAATGGCAACACGTAACCTATTGGCAAGCCTTCCAATTAAATGTAAATGGCTAATTGCTAGACAATACAATTATAATTATTTCTTCAATGTGCTTTACCGAATAGGTAAGCAAGAAATGAAAATAAATAGCAATTAATTAAATCTTTAACACCCACACTGCCATTGCATGTGCTCTATAATCTGGAAAACAACTGCATGAGTCCTTTTTTAATAATTCGTTTTATTGTTCATATTACTATCAATGGGTTCTTCACCATAAGTGACATGGATCCGATGAGCTACGAATCCGATGATCTTATGAAGCTCTGTTTCAGAGATGTCCATGTACACGCATCGGTCGTTTCGACTAGCCATCGATCGCCCCCCGAAACAGCTTGGGGTGAAATTTACTTTGCAATTAACGCGAACAAAAAAATTAAGGAGGCTCGCTCTGTACTCGCCCGTGGCTCTTTGCTTTTCACGATAAACCAAATAGTTTTTCACGAAAACGATCTGGCGTCTGGCGAAACGACGGCGCGGCTCGACGGAATCGTCTTCGTGCCTTTTCAGGTTTCCCCAACGAGCCGGCGGCCAGGATCGCGTTGGAGACGACCAGAAACTGGCTCGAGAAATACCACAGCAAGGTCAAGGCTCAATTTCGCGTTTCGCCACGCCCGCTGTCGTGGAAATAACACGATATGGAGGTTTTAAAATGATAGGGTATCGTACACTCTTCATGTGTATGTACACATGCATACGTAAATGCATGTGTATGTACACATGCATGCGTAACTGCATTTATACATTAAAATGTGTGGTTCGACATATGCATTTTTTAATATGTACGCAAGCTTAATGTTACACGTGTTTGTGTGCGCTGTACATTTAAATTACGCGTGTTTATCGTGAGATGCAGCTTCATGGATTATAAATCAAAATGTGATTGCGCACTACAAGTATATGCAGAGCAAATTGTATCTAAACCGAGCGTTATTACTTTATTCGAGTAAATATTGGATTCAGAGCTTGGCCCACAATATATGTCTCTATTTATCTTACTGCAAAACATTCAAAACCGTTTTGCGTGGCCTACCCTTTGGTGTTCTGCAGCGAGTGATGGAAATTACACATTGCTATGGCAGGGGTTGTCTCGTCCTCAAGACAACTGCTATTGACTTCTCGGCAAGTGGTGCAAAATTATCCTGAAAGGAATGATGATGATGATGATGATAACGATGGTGGCCATGACAATGAATTTGAACTGACAATCCTATTATTGTGACTTCCTTTTTCTCAGCTGAGATATGTCGCAGTTAGTATGAACACATTCGCAATATAAGCATCAAAACTCCCTGTATTGTATATTGACGATCGTGTTGATATATATTATATGGGGAGTGGTAGTGCAGAGGTTGGCGCGCCGTGCTACGAACCCGACGACCTGAGTTAGATTCCCACTCAAGGCCAACCAGTGACGATTATCTGCACTGGTCATTAGCCTCCCCTAGGTTGACTTAGCCTTAAATGAGCCACTGGGGAGACGAATGCTTGGTGTGGGCCACCCACCCCCTCGTGTACCGTTTCGGCCTTAATTCGTGATCGCTAAAATAACTTGCCCAAACAGTCTGTTAAAGGCTATATGGGGGGGGGATCTTTGTCTTTATACATATACACACAGATGTATTGAATCCTCGGATGTCTGTACGTGTTAAAACATTTAACTCTCTTGCCGTCGCTGCGCGAATCGATCCAGGTGGACAGAATCATCTTCTGCCTCTTCCTGCCGATCGACGTGGAGCTCTACGACACCCTCATGCCCGTCTATTTCCCGCGTGCTCCCAAAGGTAAAGGTGCCGGTGGCGTCAGTGACCGCCAAGGGGCGTCTAGCCAGGGGTCGTCCCCGTGGCGTCTTGCGAGCGGCCGAGTGACACCGAAACAACCGGGGGGAGTCTTCGGGCCCTCCTCAATCCTCTCGCTTCTCTCTCCCTTGTCGCTCAAGCTGCCATTCTTCGCAGCGGCGGCGGTGGCTTCTGTGCAAGCCGTCGAACAAAGATGATCACCGATTTCCGTCTGGAACTCGGCGCTTCCTTCCGATATTAGGAAGCCGCTGGAGCTATGCGCTTTTAAATCGTCTACATTGAAAACTCATTTCTTGAGAACTGATTTTCGTGTTTAGTTTGTTTGTCCCCCCCCGCCCCACACCTCCGATTGAGTATGGTGCGAAAGAAGTTCAACATCCGTACATTCCGGATGATTCGCCACCCCCCGCGCTGTTGCCCCGCCCCCCAATTGAACGCACGCTTTTACGACCAACGCCTCGTCGGTTATTCTAACTCCTTTGGCCTCGCGGTGCGCTGCGCAAATCACTCGCGACGTTTACAATTAAGTCGAAATTATCGCTGCGCCGCTCTTTATCCAGACGTGAGAATAAGAAGAGAGGGCAACGTGTAACGGCGCTACTTGGCGAGCATCGCGGTGTTCCCGTGTGCCGTAAGCATTCATTTCTGACTTGTTATTATTGGCCGTAAATCAAAGTGTTGGAATGGCCTTTCACCAACGCACCTTGTTGAGCTGATGGATTCTTCCAAACCCCCAAATTCTGCTTTTTTCCGCTCCAGTGGTGAATTAAAATTCCCGGTTCCTCGTACGTTATCGTGACGGGGTAATCGTGGTTATTTTCAAGCAACTCCGCCAATCTTATGGAATGAAGTTATTGCTGCGCGTTATTGATTCTGGGAACACGCCTGTGTTGCGAGGGTATAAATATATGTACACATTAGCTCTGCCTTCTTGATGCTAAGCTAATGCATCTAGTGTCATTGTACATCTCCCCAGGTGAGCGCTGCGATTTTTTTACGTTATTAAATGGAATCTATTACATCAATGCAGAGTTAATGATAACTACATTTATCTGACAAGCGCATCCACGTGTGGTCTCTTGGAAATCGCCTGGTTGACATCTACCCCCGCGGAGTCGTGATTACATCAGTGTCATCTCCAGCTGACTCCAAATGCTTTTGGGACACAAGCCGAGCTTGTAATGGAGCTGGCTCCTGACTAAACAATGTGAAAATACATTTAAACCAAGCAAAATACCAAGTGCTGCTACTCGATTTATATTACCCTGCCAATACTCGGTGGCAAGATGTTAACTACCTCGCCTGGTATACAGCAGGTCGTGGGTTCGATCCCGACCCTTGCCGCCTGTATTTTGAGTTTGCACGTCCGCTCTTCCTGTGGTCGTGTGGTATTTTTCTCCGGGTCCTCTGGCTTTTCCCTCCACATTTAGAATCAACATCATGCGTTAAGGGTACGTGGTTGCTATCAAATTTGTGGCCAGGTCACTTCTGAAAAAGAGCTACATAGCTGAGTGGGCCTTACCTGGTGAAAAAAAAGGTTAGTTGTAGTTGAATTTTTGTTCGGTGTAATCGCATCCAGCGTCGTGATTCGCGGGGGGGACGTTGCTTCGTCGCACGCTGTCCAAATTAGAGACGACGTCCATTCAATTTTCGGAAGGGGCACGGCGGTAATGAAGACGCGGGTCACGCAAACACCGCGGCGGTGATGCGGGCGCGCACGTGTGGCTTGCGGACACACAGGGAGCGGAGTAAGAGAAGTTAGTCGCCTCCCCGTCGTGCACAGAGTGGGAGGGAGTGGGACAAGAGGAGATTGAGAGAGGCGCACGCTCGCGTTGTCCCTGACTTGCCAGAGTGAGCAAGAGGCTGATATGAAATCGCTGGAGGTAAGTGGGGAGGGGGCAAAGCCGTGAAGGGTCTTGCAGCACACCGGAGAAGATTTTGAGGATGAGAAATAGGTAAAGTGGAATTTCCTGGAGGGACATGAGGTTGAATGTAATGTGTGGCCCTTTTGAAGATTCGAGGGTGGTGACTATGGGAGTGAGATAGTGGGCCCTCATTAAACAGTTGCCACTGGAAGTCCTTTACAACCAAACCAACACTTTACCCACAATCATTGGCATTCGTGCAGAGTATATAAGTGACAAAATAAATAAGCGGACAATGAATCTCCTTTACCAAGAGATGCTTCGTCGTTGCTGGACTCCGCGTGCCTTGCATGTGCATCGCTGCCGAACACGCGTCATTGCACGGGCTTCTGGGATTGTTTTTTACCCACAATTCCCCCCCCCCCTACCCGGCCCTGTCCCCCCTCCTGAGTGATTTGATGAATTGTCACAATTTCGGCTCTCACTATTCGATGATTCAATTATTTTTGTCTCATTGACATTGTCTTGTGAGTGTTGTCATTCTCGTTTGTAGCATCTCACTTGTTGCATTTACGAGGCTTGAAGCAACAATCTAAAATTATAATAAATAATGTTTTTAGGCTCGAGATTCGATTATTTTTCTCAGCATGAAACTCACTTGAAATTTACGAGGTTACTCATCGCTACATTCCTGCAAATCACAAGATGTTATATTTACGATTTCCGTGAGCATTTTATTTAAGCCTCTTGGTGATTGATTTGTCTTTTCCTTGTGATCTTAAGGGGATGTCTAAAAATACCGCTTTTGTGAAGTTTCTTAAGAACATTTTGTCTTCCATGCTGATTGATGGAAGGATGTTTTCTCTCTCTTTCTTTCTTTATAACAGAGAGTTCAGAAGGTGTGGCAGATGGTCCTGCGGTCGCTGGCACTGAAAATGAAAGTGACGATAAAGGTTTGTAATCCTATTAAGTTTGTGCAAATAGGACCTGGAAACAATGTTCTTGGACTTAAGGGGTTAAATATAAAAACATCAATCCCCCGATGAAGTCGGCACATGCCGTTTTTGTTTACAGCGACGTTTTGAGGTTGGAACCGAGATGCCTTCAACAGATAAAATAAAAATGCACTCACGCAACACTTTCAGTCTCCCTGCGATCGAAAAGCCGCTCGCTGCTCTGAGAGCGCGGCAAAATCTTTTAACGCTCGCTGCGCATAAATACTTTAAAATTTAATCCAGCGTGTCTAAGCTATGAAATTGCTTGAGCGTAATAATATCCTGTGAAATGTAAAAAAAAAATGCGTGTAACGTTCTGACGCGCAGCAATATCGACTCGTGACCCCCAGCGCACGCGTGGGGGTCACGTTAAACCCGAATCGTATATTCACCTCCGGCCGGGAGTCAACTTTAAAAAGACAGATGCCTCAGAGACTTAAGAATCTTGATTCTCCCCTTGCACCCCCCCCCCTTCTCCCCTATTCCCCTTCATCCCCAGGTTTCTCTCATTAGGTTATCAAACCCCAAATAAAATTTTAATTCTCTGACGTGATGTTCTCCCTCCCCATTTGGCTGGGTATGCGGGGGGGGAGGCGGGGAGTTCTTTTCCCACCAGTTTGTGTCGGGCACCGTCCTCCGTGAATTTAGACACCCGGCTAGTGGTGCGCTGCGCCGAGCTCGCGTTTTTTTTTTTGTTATTGATTCTCAGCACCACCCGCGTCCTCTTTGGGGTCACCGTGTCAAGTCGCGCGATGCGCGTAGCCGGTCTGCGGCCGGAGCTCCCTCGTGAAGCTGCGACGCCAAATGCATCCTTCCCCCCCCCCCCTCCTCGGCGCTTGATCTAGAGACGTTGGCGGCGTGGTGGTGGTGGTGGGGGGGGGGGGGGGGGGCGGTTGGCCCCCCGTTGACGGGTAGCGCCTACGCAACGCGCGAGTTGGGCGGTAGCGGACATTTTTTTCACCTGTCGGTAAATCCAAGCCTCGCGCTCCTCGGCGCTGCGCGGTAAACACAATCGGTCAGCCGCTACTGAGGGGTGGAAAAATAGAAGCATAAAACACCCCCCCCCCCCCCGCCGCCTAATAACTGTGCCCTAAGAGCCTGGCGCTGCGGTAATTGATTTGACCGTCCGTGCATGTGCCCCTGTACCGCGTGAAGCCAGCGCTCGGAACTAAATGCACACCCCCCTACCCACCCCGCCTTGCACACATGTATGTGAAATGACCTATTTAGACACGTGTGTCTGTTCAAATGAGGAGCGGTATGGTGTAACGGTTGGCGCGCTGCGCTACGAACCCGACGACCCGGGTTCGATTCCCGTTCACGGCTAACACCGGTGACGATTATCTGAACCGGTCATGGTGCTTCTTCTAGCTTGACTCGGCCTCAAACGAGTACCTGGTGTGGTGTGCAAACATCGCCCCCTGGGGAGACAAAGACGGCCGGGCGTGGTTCTGCCCACCCACCCCCTCGTGTGCTGTGCCGGCCTTCATAGGCGCTCGCTAACAGCACTTGCCCCAGCAGTCTGTGCGGGCTATAAGGGGGATCTTTGTTTTTGAAATGCTTGCTTATGTTTGCATGTACGTACACCGTTAACAACCATTAGACACCTCGTTTGTTAGCTATGCAATATTCCTTAAGGACCCGGTACTCGTTCAGTGCAATGTTGACCTTTTTTATCTTTGCTGCTGTTGCTGTAGCTTTGCTGACACAATACCACGGATTTCCTCGTGTAAAATAGCCGGGCCATACTGCTTTAACGGGACCATCCGTGTCACAAATCAAATCAGCTTAAATCATTGCCGAAAACCCAACAGTCCTTTGAGTTTACGCTCTTTCGTCTGCACGCTTGTCCGATGCATATATATTGTTGTTGTAGTTTCTGCCGGGTTATTGATTGATGTATTCCAATGTTTCACCTGGAAAATTCCTTCAGGTGGAAACATCTCATTTGCAAGCGTGTCCAGTGTGTCCATCGATGCGTACCCAGCAAACACGGAATGACACGTGCGCACAAATTTTAAATATGTAGCTTGTACACACACCACATATACAGTGGACATTCTAGCCCCCTCTATCTTGTGTTCTGCTGTGCCCACAGTCTAAAGTAGCCCGTTTATTGTTTATATAATACGAAATTTTACGCGTAAATATGGTTCCTTAATGATGGTAACCGTCCTTTTTATTCACATCCATTTATTTTACTTGTGCCTGCTCGAAGCGATGTATTATGATGCACGTGTGTATTTAAATACTCCACATTGTCCGTTATTTGCACATCCCAGGGGGATTTATTGAACATAAAATTGGCTGAAAATATCTAAATATACATACAGACAGTCCCTGGGTTGCGGAAGGACCCGACTTACGGAAATACGAGTAAACGAAAATGCTCCGATAAATCATGTAAAACAAATTCGATACGCAGAATTGTTCGCGTCAGTTATGCGAGCACAAGCAGTACAGCGCGTTGAGCTTGCAGGTGAATACCATGGAGCGAGGCGTAAGGCGGGGGCAGCCTCTACGCCTTCCCCCAACTTCACCAGGATTCATGTAAATGGAATTTATTGTTGATTTTGGGAGGAAATTGTTCAATTTCTGACACATGGAAAATTCGGGTTACGGATCGTTATCGGGAACCAAGTCCTTCCGTAACTCGGGGACTGTCTGTATAGCATTGCAGAGCTTGGGCAATTGTTGGTTGCGCCAGCTCCCCCCCCCCCCCCCCCCGGCTTCTGCTTTCCAGCTTTATCTGTGATTCCTTGGCGATTGCGAGAGATGCAATTTTCACGTAGGACGGTGCTACATAAAGCTAACATATTATTCTATAAATTAAATTTTTGTTCTCGTTATGAACAAAAACACCGGCTTCAATGCGGACATTGGTCAAGGTGCGTTAAACATGTCGAGCTTGCTCGTGCACATGTAAAGTCTTGGGATGTAAAGTGTGCGGATGTCAAGTATGGCGATGCGTAGGCGTTTGTGGGATTGCAGCGGCGATGGGGAAGATGCATCATTAACAAGAGTACACTTTGTCAGCAAGAGCGCCGCAGTTTGTGGATATAATTGTCTCGGCGATGACATTATGAAATGTCTGCTATCGTTCATTAAGTCAACATTTGGCTTCCGTCATACCAACTCTCATCTTCAAACAAATGGATAGCGAAATGTCCTCAGAAAATAATATCGCAGAGACATTTAGATACTGCTGACAGGCCTGTACCGTGGTAGGAAACTAATTGCGTCCAGCGGTGGTGTATGACGCAACACTTTGTTTCAATACGGCAAGCTGGTGTCGTGTGTTATCTTTCTTAGTAGTGCAGAAGTCGTGGTCCTCAAGTTGTGAGCTCAAATTCGTTTTGGATACTAATAGGGTTTTTCCCCTCTTTTCTGGCAACAAAACTGACACCTTTTGCAAGGCATCATTCTTACATTAACCACAAGACTTGCAGTCAAATGCAAACAAAAAACAATACTCTGATAATTTATGCATTGTCTTTGAAAATGATTGGTCCACACCAGAGACAGCTTTCTTTAGAGCCTAGTCTCATATGGTGTTCGACCAGATGACGCCAAAAGGCGTACAGTTCGTTTTGGATGTTGAGGCCCGGCCTCTCTTCTATCCGGGCTTGTTTGTAAGAGTACCGCCCCGTGCGGAATCAGCAGTGTTTGTCCTCGAGGGTGGCTCGGAGATGTTAACTCCCTCGCTTGGTATGCTGGAGGTCGGCGGGTTTGATCCCGACCCTGATTCCTGCTGTATATTTGGAGTTTGCGTTTTCTCTCTCTCTCTCCATTGGTCGTGTGGATTTTGTCTGCGCAGGTCCTCCGGTTTTTCCCTCCACATTTAGAAACTTGTGTTTAGATTATTTAGATTCTTTGGCTACTGCTATAAATTGCCATGCGATAAGCCACTTCGATGAGCTATTTTTTTTGCGGTGGGAGGGGGTTTCTTCTGAAAAAGAAGCTAAAATCACTTTATAGCTCAATGGGCTTTTCCTCGTAAAATAGTATTTTTGTTTCGTGATTTCTTTACCTTTTCCTTTATGCTGCCCTCCTGGTAGGATGCGGATGGTTTAGTTTTATTTGTATGTTTTTGGGTGATTTCTTTACTTTTCTTGTACTTTGCACTGCTATAGTGTTTTGTACTGTTTGTTGTAGCTTTCTTACCCGCTTAACACGTAGGCTTTCGCGACCAATATCATCCATAATAGAGGTTTTTGGGTTAGATCGCGTAAATATATAAATGTGTCGTTAAAACTCGCCACCACCCGACACAGCCAACTAGTAAGGGTTGTCACGTAAACAGAACGTGGACAATTCGTCACTAGAACAGCACACAGGTGTGTTGGAGAGCCAACTAGCTTCATCAGGAAACAGCCAGATTTGTGTAGAAGTCTTCCTGTTTCGTTCCTTGTATAGAGGCGTAGATGTGTTGACCACCCTTCTTCCTGTCTATTGTATTTATTAAAATAGCCCTACGAACGGTAATCCCTATTGAAGTACGCTGTCCTTTGCAGGCATCAATTTAAGTAATGTATTATTTGATGATTCGCTTCCACGCAGCACGAAGACGGGAGCTATCCGAACGGTGAAAGTTATTTTGATTTCTTTCAGTTTCGATAGATTCTCTAATTATCTAAATCAATTGAGTGTCCTTGTTGGCACGCATATTCTGCTACTGCTGACAGTTGCATTTGGGAGAATTTAATATTTCTCTGATGTTCTTTTGGTCTCGTGCTGATCATTCATTCTGTTTGCCCAACATAACATTTACCACACGTGCAGTTAGTCCTGTACACACCGTCGGTTGATCGCTTCGGTAATACATCGGATATTTTGTTTTTCCAAACATCTGGCTAGTTTATCAGTTACTCCCGCAATGTACGGTATTTTGATCGTTTTAATTACTTGGGCAGTTTCAATGCTCTTGTTAGTTGATTTGTTTTTGGTATTCAATGACCTGTTGATTGTCACCATCCGACACTTTCTTAGCTCGATGAATGAGCGTCTTGATAAGAGCAGATTTCTGTGCGGGGTGATGGCGTGTGACTGCATTCAGATAGGCGTCAGTATGAACTTTCTTTCGGTAAGCACTGTGTGTTCTTACCCGCCCCTACTGAACATCTGTGATGAAGAGCTTCATAGCTCATTTGATTCCTCCAGTATAAATACACATTCTTATTCTGAGCTAAGCCCCAGAAATGTGGAATTTCCTCCGGGGGCTCGGGGTGAACCCAGACACGAGCACTGCCCTGCGCTCATTTAATTCGAGAAACATTGGGGCTTTAAAAACAATTAAACGTAGAGACTGCAATCGTGATTGCAAAGTTTAATGTGATGCAAGAAATAGGCACTCAAGACGAATCTCGAGTGTCTAGACCGGGGGGGTCGGCAACCACAATAACCAGAAGAGCCAATTTTTTTCGAATTCGGTGGAAAAAAAAATACAACTGAATATTTCAAGAGCCGCAATGCACCGTGCGGTGAATACGAGACGGTGGTGGTCCTTCATAAATAACGGTCACGAAGCAGTCCTTGAAGAGCCGCAGGGTGCCGACCCCTCGTCTAGACAAATGGTCACGGCGCAGGTGGAATCGAAGAATGCCCCCATGGCTGCGCTTTGAGCAAGCGCGCGAGCGTCGCATAGAATCTGGGTGTGGTAATTCGAACATCTACCGAAGATTAATGCAGAGATAATGGTGTTCGTCAGCCTGGTCGCCAAAGTCGTCGAACACGCACACGAAAACACGTTAAAATAGATTAAGTTTGGCCAAGAACTGATCTGAACACACAAATGTTTCCGCTATATTGAACGACTGAATTTTGCAACGAGTCAATTTTTACGCAGTGCATATGGAGGATAACAACCCAGCTTCCGGTACTCGTAATAAAGGCCGTGTAGAGTGACTGTTAACACGACCCCCAGGTGTCACGGTGATGAGATGTTAACTACCTTGCCTGGTATACAGGAGGTTGTAGGTTCAATTCCGACCCTGATGCCTGCTGTACATCTGGAGTTTGCGTGTTCTCTCACCCCCCCCCCCCCCCCCCCCCCCATGGGCGTGTGGATTTTTGTCCGGGTCCTTTGGTTTTTCCCTCCACATTTAAAATCAGTGTGTGTGTAGAGTGTTTTCCTGTTCTGAATTTCCACGTGAAAATCCACTTGTGATGGCCATGTTGCTTCTGTAAAAGGAGCTACGTAGCGAGGTGGGCCTTACCAGGTCAAATAAATTATCAACAGTCTGTTAAGGTAAAGTCACGTAGGTGAAATAATAACAATAAAGTAATAAAAATAAAATGGAAATAACTTAATGTAATAATTAATAATATATTACATCGCGTGAAAATGATAATACAAATGTTTTTTAATTTATATATATTTTTTTACCTTCGTGACTTTACCGAAAGAACCAAAGAGTATGGATCATTGCAGTCACGAAAACCTCAAATCTAGAATTAGTCTGTTAAGGCTCCAACGTGGCGGGGCGGGGGGTGTCTTTGTCTTGTGTGCACAGACAGAGACCCTGAGGTTGCAGATAAAGACGAGTTGAAGGACGAGGACATGCCCAGCCAGGACCAGGACAGCGCCCCCAACAAGACGAGCGGTACAACGCCTGCTGCTGCTGCTGCTAACCTTGCTTGCTTCCACGCCTGACAACGCGCAAGCGTAGGGACGCTTCGCTTGGCAAGCGCGCGCCTACCGTTGTGTATTTTGCGCAAACCTAACGTGATGATTGTTGTTGTTTTTTTCTGCAGCACCAAAATACGTTTCGAAGATTTAAACGGTATTACATTTTTTTTCTTTTAATTTTGTGGGGTTTCTTTTTGTTGGCGTTTAATCAATTGGTGCTTTTTTAAGTGACGAAGTGTAGGTAGTGCTCCCCTCACCGAAGCCCAGCGTGATCCTTTGCCTGAGTTCCACGGAAGCTTCTAGGGGCCTAGCATTCCCATCAATTGACCGATTAACATAAGATACGCTGTTGGGAATAATTTAATATCAATACAATCTGTGTGTAACTATCTCCCGCAATTCGGTCCGGTTAATGCTTCGTTAAACATGGATATAATGTTCGCCGGTGCAGGTTAATCACGCTTGTAAAAAAAAAAAATCTCTTAAAACGTCTTTACATGGTGGCTGCTGGTTGACTCCTTCGCTGCTCCTTACTCGTCGAGGGTCAGGGACTCGGTTTTCCACGTGAGCACGAAGACTTCGCCGAGCAATCCGATTACTTGAAGGAGCAAAAAAGACAGATGACGTATTCCAAGTCTTCACCCCCCCCCCCTCCCCCCCCCCAATTCTACGCGGGTAAACAATGAATGCGTTAATTCGTAATAGATTTTTGGGGTAAGTCACGTAACGATCTGGCCAGGTTTCTGTTGTAAGGCCCTCCACCACCCGTCTCGGCCGAACAAATGAACTTGTTACGTGGACAAGTGTCTGTTATTGTTTCAGCTCGTACGTCGCTAAGTTGAAGAATTCTTTCAATCGAATTTATCAGTTAGATGCGATGCTTTCCTTGAATTGAAGCCAAGCACCTTCAGGAAAATCCATTAAGTCGGCATGAATTCCAGGAAGTCCAAATAACCATGTCACTTGAACCCAGCTTATTAAATAGGTGTCAGTCACGACCTCAGAGCAACAACCAATCTGATTGAACCCACGCTAGAAAATTAACCATTCTTAAAATCGAGAGGTTGACCACATCGACGTGGTCGCATTGCTGGCTCAATAACATCGATGATAATTCCGTTGCTAATATTGCCGCGTCCGTTGTGTCGCGATCGCGGACCGACCCGCGAGAATCGGCAGCTCGTGGTCTGTGAGTCGGTCGACCGCCCGCCCGTCAGCGCAGCAGCCGCCTGCTGGGTTCAACTCGGGTTCAGCGTGTGACCTGCCCCGCCGCGTGGAATGCGAGCCATCGGCATTGCGACGACGGCGGCGGTGGCAGTCAGCCGTCTCGATTGTTAACCCCCCCCCCACCCTCGTCACTCGGCAAGTCTACCGGAACTGAAATGCCAAATTAAGCGCCAATGCCACTCATCACCCGCAGTGAATGTAGGCGGAGGTTTGCTCAGTGCGATTTGAGGGAGTGACTGCTTAGCGTTTGTGTCCGTGTCTTTGTGTCCATGTAGGCCGGGCGTAGTGCTGCCCTTCCCCCCACCCCGCTTGTCTGTCGTGCCGGCATTCGTAGGTGCTCGCTAACAGCACTTGCCCCAAAAGCCTGTTAAGGCTACACGGGGGATGTTTGTCTTTGTCTATGTAAGTGTTTACCACACCTCGCCCCTTTGGGTGCTGCGCTGGTCTTATTAGGTTTTCGCGAACAGCACCTGTGCCTGTTGTCTGCAGGACTAAAATGAGAGGTGGTTGAATTTTAAATGCGTATGCATTGTGTGTGTACATACTGTGTGTGGGGTGCGGTAATGTATGTAAATAATTTGTGTGGGGAGCGGTAGTGCAGTGGTCGGTGCAGTGGGCAGCGCACTACTCTGTGAACCCGGCGACCCGACCTCAATTCCCACTCACAGCCATCATCGGTGACGAATGTCTGAACCGGCCCAGGGCCTTTCCTAAGTTGACTCAGCCTTAAATGGGTACCTGGTACGGTCTGTATAAATCACTGGCGATGCAGAGATAGAGGCGGCCGCGCTTGGTGCTGGCCACCCACACCGTCATGTGTCCTGCCGGCTTTAATAGGTGCTCGCTTAACAGCATTTGTCCCAACAATCTATTACAGTCTACATGGGGGAGTTTTGTCTTTGTAGACATTTGTCTGCATTGAGGTAGATCACCCCTTACCATTTACTCCTTGGACAGGCTGAAGCAGCTTTACTCTTGCCAGACTTTGTAGTGATTTTTGTATATCATGAAAAGTGTCCAATTAATACAGAAGCTTACTTTTATCTATGCCTACATAAACGCATTTACAAATATGGGATCGTACGTTCCCTTCACACATACATACGGTGTGAGCTTTGTAATGTGTGCTATGTGCGCTATGCGATTTGTACGTAACCTACATGGGCATGAGCACACCTCGCAGTCTTTCTTAAGATGAGTTAATGCTCTCGGCAGCTGATGAGAACATCGGTCAGCTGGAAAGAAATGTGAGCAGGTGAAACAAAACTAAGGTGGAAGGTGTGCGTGTATATATGTCACGATGTCATCGGCAAGTCCGCACGCAACAACGATGGCAGTGGTGGGGGGAGGTCCGACATCGTCCAGACGATGACGAGAATGTGTGAAGCCGCCAAAGTTGTTGCGTGTTGCTTTCTTGTTGTGGAATTTGAAATGACTAAAATGTCAGTGAAATAGGATGTATCCATTTGTTGCGTGACGTGCATTGCATTGAGGGCCATTATTGACACGATTGCACAAAGCTTGTGTGTATCTCAGGTTTGCGTCATTATTTGTCTCTGGGTGGAACGGTGGCATCGCGGTTAGCACATTGCACTACGAGCCTGGCCGCCTGAGTTTGATTCCCGGCTAACGCGAGTGGCGTCTGAACCAGTCCTGGGTTCTCCCCCACCCCTAACCCAATGCGCACTGACCAGCATGGTGAAGTATAGTCAAACGATTCCCGTGACCGACACAGCATAGGAAGGCCTTCTTCATTCAACAATGGATTGACAAAAGGGCCATGCATTATTATTGTTTCATGGTCTAATAGTAAGAGTACCGTCATTTATTGACAGCAAAGCTTCGTTGAGTCCCAAAGACCCTTTTATTTGTAGGATTCTGTATGGAGTTGTTGGTCATTTCCCTGTTTTAAGTCGTGAGAGAAGTTGTGTTCACGTGAGTGAAAATCCCGAGCAGCGCCCAGTAGAACACGAACAATTACAGGGAGACTACAATCAAAGGTCCACACAGATGGGTTTACGAACCCTCGTTTGTACCGCTCTCTACTCAGTGGCTACCTTGCGGCAGCCGAGGGGAATGGAGAGTTTCACAAGCTCTCCTTGATCCAGCAACCTTTGGACGATGGATGGCAACGCTTGCTTGTCTTTCATGTGGTATCCACTGCGCTGGACCTGTCGTTGGATCTCTGTGTTTAATTCGATATCTCTGTTGTGTTTCCTTGACCCCTGCCCTGCAGATTAATCAAGGAAAGAGGGACGTTTTCCACGGCTACAGCAAAGCAAATGTGATAGGCAGACTGTGCACAATTATAATCCAGCACAGGTAACATGGGTCACATGCTCACTCGTCTAAGCAGTGAACATACGTACATAGGCTTGGGATATGTATATTGGTTGCACTGTTATGAATTAAAGTAAATTCAAGCCTGACTATGTTGTTTACCCTAAAGTAAAACAAAAAATAGGAATTTTCCACAACATTTGGTTTCTCTTTTTCAATCACTTCCAGTTTTTCTTTGGCAACGTTCCATTGTGCTCTTAGTTTCCCGGCTACATTCCTGATGTTCGCAAAATCTCGCACGGTACATTCAGCTGACAAGTTTGGCGGGTTTGCCGTGACCAGCGACGTTGGGTAGAGATCGTAAATGCAACCTTTGGCGGGTTCGCTCTGTCGAAGATGTGAAATCTGTTCCCTGGACGTTTACCGGTCTGATGTGACACCAAGACCCGTTTTGTGACATTTATTCGGCGATGGAAAAATATTGAGGACCTTGATGGACTTGGGTTTAAAACTTAAATTAAAGAGAAAAAATTCTGGTTCCAGTTCCGTAAACTTGGTTGTTGTTCCAAGTTTAGTTTTGCGTAACTTGAATAATAACCGCTGCCAGCTATTCTATATTTTATTTCAGATTAGGTTAATATGCCGGTAAAAAAAAAGGAATAAAACGCGTGCAATTAGTTATTTTAACGGATTGAATGATGACAAAAATAAACGATGTTTTAAATGATGAGTATGACCGATGCAAAGTGACTGGCGGGCAAACCCACACAGACTTGAATCACAGGACAAAGTGGAAACCACTTCAAAGTGCAAACATGTTACGTTCATGTTAATTTAACTGCTTGTAAAATGGCAAATTTGTACCAGGCAATGAACGGGCTTGGACAAATAGTACCGTTAGAATGGATTAACGTTTGATTCATCTGCTCCAAATATTCACATCGAGTTTTACACGTACAATTAGATTCGTGAGCCTGAAAAAATAACATTTCCATCTGCTTGTACGTGTACAACTCGTGCTCGTGACATGCGCTTCCCCACTGTTGCGTCTGTTTGCAACACAAAGGCAAATCAACTCTCCCGGTGGCGACTCGAAACAAATGGGTCGCATCGTGCGGAGGTGAATAGCCACAGTGGCGTTGTTGACGGATCAAAAAAAAGAAAAGGGTGGTGGTTTGATATTGTCTGAAACGACCTCGAGATTGTGGGAAGCCCCCTTTGATAATGCCTCTCACTTTACATTCGTGGCGACATAATCTTTCCGGAAAGCGAGTCCGTGCATACCAGCGGTCGGCAGCTTTTCTTCTGGAACTGAAATTGGAGCGAATTAACCCTTTTCCATTCCGATGACGTACGTGTACGTCATCAGTTTCTCTTCTGAGTCCGTTCTGATGAAGAGCTTTATCGGTACCGAGGCTCCCACAAGGCCATGCGGGAGGGCGTGTGGCACAGTTTGGCGCCAGCTACCGTGCGGTATCGCTACAGTTCTTTGCGGCGAGTGCAGCATCTTTAAAAAAACAACAGCGTCACCGCCTCAATTAAATTAACGCTGAACCGTTTTTGCGCATTCCGAAATTCATCGGTGAACGGGGGACCCACGCTGCAACTTGCAGTCATCTCCAAATTGGAAAGGGTTGATGGGCAATTGATCGTTGCCTTGCCACCAAGCGTACATTTCTGCCCCTCAATGGAAAAAAAACAAATGAGCGAAGTAAATTGTTTGCGCATTCCAAAATGCCATTCACACGAACGTACTGCGCGGTGTTCTCCACATGTTAACGTGTGAATGTGCTTGGCAAGCATCTTGGATACCGTCAACCAAATTGAATTGCGGGACTCTGATGGGTTTGGGGGGCTGCTCTCTGGAGCGATCGGCGTGCCCAGCGCAGCGCAGCGGGAATGAGGAATCGCTGCACAACGAGTCGCGGAGAGAAACCGCGCTCGCAGCTGCTCGTCCCGTCCAATGAAATGGGCGGCGGGCGGTGCAATTCGTGGAGAGGCGGGCAGAAGACTCGCACGTGAACACGCGCTCACATCTTGTGAAGCTGCAGAGGGGGGCTTGCCCTTGGAAATTTCGCTCAATTGCCAATAAGCCGTACCCTGCGGAACGCATTTATTTAAACGCGGTCATCATAGGACATGAACTACGCACACCCAAAGCTGGATAAAAGGGGGGGTGGTGGCATTTAATCGTTGGAGAAATTCTTACAAACACGGGGGCAGCCATGCTGAGTACATGAATTCAAACGTTTAATGTTTTCACGAAACCTATTATTTTTTTCTGTGTCGCTCCAAAGCGCGTAAGTCGCACATTACTGATCCATTCATCCATCCATCCACACGTGTCTGTGCCTATTCCAAAAGTGTAACCTCTTTATATTTTGTGTAAAGTAATTCCAGGCCCTTCGGGAGCTTATGGAATCGTGTTTTGCTTTGACAAGTCGCGTGATCTTTGATGAGAACCACGAACAAGCAGATGCGTCGTGTCAAAGATATACGGAGGCTGCCTTAAAAAAACAACAACAAAAACCCATCGTCAACTCGAATTTGCGAGCGGCCGTTCGCTTGCGATGAGCACTGAACATTTGACCCGGAGTTGTGCACAAGCGAAGGGCCGTGCGCTCAGTGCGTGGCGAGGCGGCGGAGTCTGTCGTTTGGCGTGGTTTTAATCATCCGTTCAGTGGAAGGCATCGCTCTGCTCATTCGGCAGAATATTTATTTATGGTTTATTTCGATTGCATTGCTTTTTGGCTTCTCTTAGGTTTTAATTTTCTTGATTTTTTTTGTGGTTTGGTGTTTTTCTAACGACGAGACGGACGATAGTGCCAAACTTCCTGCCCGTGTGGGGGGGGCGTGCGTTTCAAACGGTGCGGACAACTCAATAGGTGACTTGCAAGCACGCGGACTCGATTTGTTTCAATATCGCATCCTGTTGAGATGTAGCCTGATAGCTAATATTTAATGGTGGGGCACCAGTCGACTTTATCAGATGTAATATATATACATAATTACATACAAATACCAATTATGTAGACTATATTTAAATCTTACCCCCTGCATCCCAGCGCTGAAACACTACACGAGCATCAAAAACACTAAAGTGCTTATCAATTTTAAAACAAAGTAAAGTGAAGCAATGAAACATTAAACGAATATTAAACGTGGATGAAAAAAAGGCAATTTACTCCTAGGATAAAAAGTAGTTGTGATACGGCGCTCATCTGCGAAAAGCTTGCCGCTGTTCTTTGTTCTCACCCCGTGCGCGTTTTTGAAGCCGGCGTTAGAAGGTTAAAAAAAAACAGCAACGACGAAAGCGACTTGGAAAAAGTTTGCTCGGAGATTCGGTCGCGCGGCAAACGGCGCGAGCGAGCTTCATCGGCGGGGGGGGGGGGGGCCTACGTGGATGACGACGTCGACGACGCTGCGGCGTTCGCGTCGTTTGCCGCGCCTACCTCATCGGCTTCTTCCGCGCGTTTCATCGCAGCGAGCGGCGGGCGGCGACGCAAACGTCTCCGCACCCCGGAGCCCTTGAAGGCCCAGGGCGACGAGAGAGAGAGAGCGAGGCGCTCGCTTCATTTTAATTTCACATTTCTCGAGTTAGGATTTATCCGGCGATTCGTGGTGGCGGTGAGGGCGCGGGGTTTGTTTGGTTCACATTAAGACTTTAAATGTCGTTGGGAGTTTCTTGTTGTTTCTTGCGGAAATAAGTTTTGTTAAAACCTGACCTGGCTAAATGTAGAAACTAAAATGTTATCAAATTATTTGGGGGAGGGGGGGGGGGTATCGGGTTAACCCTTGCTTGACAGTGAGCGGACGAACACAGCTTCGCTTGTGAGCATCACTCCTGGAAGGCTGTTAATTTTGGGGGGAGGGGGGGTGTAAAATAAACTTCCAATAAATAAACTTATACGCAAAAGCATTTCTTCCAACGGGGCTCAGTGCAACCTGGGTTTGTGTGATGAGGTCCGTGCACCCCGTGTTTGTTCATCAGTCTTATCTTGAGCCGAGGGCTTTAGGTATCCACAATAACTAAAAAAAAATTCCTGCAGATAAATGCTCTATATTTGTTCGTGCTGTTTAAGTTAAACGTTTTACCCAGCGGTCCGTAAAAAAATAATTTAGTTTTGTTTTTGTTTTGTTCGGTTGTAAGCCTTAATCATCGTGGTTTAGCGTGCATTGGTAAAGAAAAAACACAAATCGAAAGAGCGATCAAAACAGTTGCCCTCTGCAGTCATTGTGGATTTATGTTCTGTGACTTGTTGTTTTGCTGTGATTGCATTCGTTCGAATACTGCGGGCTTGGTTTGGGTCTCAGTTTCTGTCTCCGTGCGCCTTTGGTCATTCGTTATTGTCTGCGATTTGTGTTTGTACTCGTGTAGTTTTCATCACGAGAAGCGCTGTCTCTGTACTACAATCCTCACGCTTTCAAATTAACAGAACAAACCGCGTCTCACTGTGTTAGACCATTGATGCACTGCCTCGTTTAGGTTCTAGCTCTTGTTGTTGTTCTTCTTTAAGACTTCTCTGGCAATCCGTTGGTGGTAGGTTTTGTTCTCCTTAGCCCAATGGTGCCTCGTTTGAACGTGTAAAATAAAGACTGAGCCGTGTTTAAAAAAAAAAAAGTCGATGCGAAACAAAGTTAGCGAGAAAAAAAACCGTGCGGGCTCAACAACCCCCATCTCGTAACGTATCGCTTAGAAAATTACTTTGACATGTAATTAGTCGGAGGGGGGGGGGGGGCCCCCTCCTACCTTACCTTCATTTAAAAGTGAAACCTAGTCATCCGAGCAGTGTTCTCCTAACCAGTGCGGTTTCAACGAGAGGGAGACGCGCGTCCTGCGATGCGGTTGATTGTGAGCGTGTGGGTGTTGTCTGGGGCGCACCGAACCGATGGCACCGTGGGGTCGCGGCGCGATTCTTCGTTCATGACCCGGTGGCTTTGAGATGCCGTTTCGGGAGCAGGGGTGGTGGGACAGTGTGCCAGGTGTCGTAACTACTTTTGTGAATACATGGGGGGGGGGGGGGGGGGTGGTTGTTGTTGTTGTGAAGTCACCAGGAGCTGTGGCCTGCCTTTGGTCAGTGGCATTTCAGGGATTGAATCGTGATTAAAAACTAAAAGTTGAGAAAAAAAATCACGACGGCATCCGTGGTGTGGTCTGATGTGGCGTGTACTTCAACGATACTCAAACAACCTCGAGAGAGAGAGAGAGTATAGAGAGATAACATGGAAATGCGGTGAATCATTTACGTAAAATTTATATTTCAACCAACGTCAAATTAAAGCAAAAAAATGCATTAGAATTTTCGTAAACGCACACCTTTTCAAGATTTCAAATGACGAATTCAAATGCACCTCGCTGTTGAAGCACTTCATCCTCTCGTTACGTATGGGACATTAACGAACATCTGAAATGGCCCGTTGCGTGATTTGGCCCGCCGACGCCATGACGATTCCCCGCCGTGCCCCAAGGCCACGGCCTGGACCCTGGATGATCCTCGGGTGAAGTTTTAAATCTGCCAAGTGGCTCCTTGTTGTCGCAGCCTGTCCCGCGGAGTGTTTTCACTTGGGGGAGAGACTAACTTGAGCACTTGGATTGTCAGGAGTAGTCCCGTCTGCAAGCGGCGGGATGAGGGCATTCGCGGCGGGATGAGGGCATTCGCGGCTGGCCAACACGAACCCTGCTTGTTCTCGGGACGGCGTGAACCGCGGTCGCACGCAAATGCGCATCGTGATGGTCACACCCGGGTGTGCCTGCCCCCTCCCCTCCTCCCCCCGATCTGTCAGGGGTGGCTGTTTTTGTACCTCCGGTACCCTAATGGCGCTAATCGCGTCGGGTGTAAGCATCGTATATACCACGCTGTCTGGGTGTTTTTTTCTCGGTAAAAACAAGGCGAAGTGATACAGCCGGGGAAGACGTGTTTGTTAAGCGCAGTGTTTCGAGTGTGCCAGTGCACACGTTAAGCAATACGCAAGGAAACACAAAGTAACGCGTTTTAATTAAACGAACAAGCAGGCTTTGTAGTGGTATATGATGTAATCCTTTATAGGATATATCAGACGCGTTACTCATCTCGAGTCTGGTTAGGTAATGACCCGAATCCGACCAGGTGCCACGGCGATTAGAGAGTGCGGCTCCCAATTAGAAGGTGGCAGCTTTGCATTCCGGTTGGGGGGCCGACTGCTCTCCCCCCCCCCCCCCCCCCCGCTATTCCTCCGGGTTCCATAAAAATGCTTGCCACCTTGTGGAAAGTCATCGGCATGTTGTCCGCCGCACAAAACCCACGATTGCCATAGGAATGTGGAATTTCCACAGTCTCAAGCACCACCGCACCATTACGTCCGTTTGGTGAAAAGCCCCCACGTCGATGGCAGGTGCCTGAAATGTCACGCGCGTTTATTAAATTCGGAGCGGATTATTTGAAGGTAAAAAAAAGCAAGTGCTAAAGTAAGTACCCTTGGCCCAAGTGACACACTCCTGGATGCCAGTGAATTGTAAAGCAATCTTCCGTCGACTCAACTCCCCCACCTCCCAGCCTCTGATTATATTTTAATATTCTTGGTGTGAAACGTTATTACCGTCGTGCTCTTCAATTGACCGCAATAACTGGCCACAGTTAACTTTTTAACGGATCCACCTTTATCCAGTTGGAGGAGTCGAGACGTGGTGACTTGTTTATCCCCTAAGCCCTGGAAACGCACCCAGACCACTCGTCTTGAGCTCTCCTTTGAAATGTCATTCCAAGAGACCGGTTTTCAGGCCACTTTTTAAACAGATTCCAATTGTGTTCGGCTCTTGGCTTTGTTTGAAGGCGGCTGGTGATTAAGCCAAAAAATAAAAGTTCGAGAATTCAGTTCGCACGGGTTGTCTTGTTAAAAAAAAATGCACCTGGCCTCTAAAGTGGACTTAACAAAACAAACTCTGTCCAGCCGCAGTGGCTAATTCAACAGGCAGCAAGATGCATGCAGACCAGAAACAATATAAACAAAAAAGATGTGTTAAACGACAAAGTATAGCGACAATCCCAGCAGCTACTGCACGTCAAGATGACTTAACAATTGGTGCACGTCACGATGCACGTAGAGCCACGTGTGATGGCTACAGTGTGCTCTCACGAGTCGTGCTGGGGATGACGCCCGTGCACATTTTGCCTCGCTGTGTTTTCCCACCGCTTCCGAAATTAACGAGAAGGGAAAGAAAAAAACGCCGAAACCTCGGGCTCGTTTAAAGAGCTCTCGTGGCCATCACAAAGTTATGATCGTAGTCCTCTTGACACACAGTATGCTCGGCGTTTCACATTACATTTTTGCAGCTCGTGACACCTTTTGCATATGTATTCTTATCGAACTGGCGTCGAGAAAAGGTGGCTTTGTCAGAGTTCTTATTGCTATTATTGATCTGAAATGTTCAAATGTGGATATTTGTCGCAGCCGTTGCTGCACGCAAAGTCGCCGCGCGGGTCTTCGAATATTCACACCTGAAACACGCACTGTTTCTGTTCTTTTGGGATGGTGTAAAACAAACAAGTTTCCTCGTCGTGTCCATGCCGCAAATCCTAAATTTTGGTCTCCTGGAGGCGATGTTTCAAGTCCGAGAGGGAGGTGGGGGGGGGGCTCTGGTGTTGCTCCTCTGTCACGACCGAAGTTATCCGCAGCGAACTGTTGGCAACCCTCCCACCAGTGACGCTAAATATTGCTCGCGAGCTCGACTTTCCGCACGCGTGAGCTTCGGACTTGCTTTGCATGCATGTGGCTTATTTACGACCTTGTTTGGTGATTGTTATAAAAAAAATAAATGTTGGGAGATGGATGCGTGGTCATTCCCCCCCCACACACACACACCATTCGTGTAAACAAATGTCGTCCGCCGAATGTTTTGATGTTATTTCTCCGCTAAGTTATCGGTGTTCTAACCAATGTTTGTGATCGTCGTTGATGATTCTGTTGGTCAGGGGGGGGGGGGTGAAGATGTCTACTTGCAGTGAAGATGTCGGTGATGTTCTTGCGATGGTGACGGGCTCGCGATGATGTGCATCGCCACCACAAGTAATGGGCCTCGTCCCGCGTGATTTTGAACAGACTGCATCTCATGTCACATTAGTTTCGCTGGATGCTTCATTTGGTGGTGGTGGGGGGGGGGGGGTGCTCTCTCGAGCGCGACCGTGCAACGCGCTCATTGCCCAGGGTCTTTTTCCACCCCCCCCCCCCCCCCCCGTGCATGAATGTTACGTGCCCTCTGCAGTCACTGATGCGCTGAGCGAATGGTGAGCGTATGTGAAGAGAAAGAAAAACGAAAGTTGGTGGGTGCTTTTGTGTGACGTGAACCAACAACTAAAGGCGCATTGAAACTCCTGCTCAAGACGAAACGCGCTGAGCGGTTTATATCACCAAGATAGCAAACAAACAAACAAAACAACAACAACCCCAAACTTTCACCGATCGGCTTAGGAAGCTGCGTGGTTAATGTTTCCCAGGAGCACGAGACGACTCGGCGAGCGAGCGATTTTTTGACGAGCGAGCGAGAGAGAGAGCGAGCGCCTCTCCTCGTCTCTCCTCGTCTCTAGCGGTGGGACGTCGAGAGAGCCCTGCGCTTGGTGACGCGTCGCCGTCTCGCGCACACGGCAGATGGGAACACACGGGCACACACACTTGAACACACGGGAACACATGGGTACCAAGACAAAGGTTCCCCCCCCCCACCGCATGTTAGCCTTGACAGACTGTTGGGGCAAGTGCACGGCATACGAGGGGGTTGGTGGACAGCATCATGCCCGGCCGCCTTTGTCTCTCCAGTGGCGATATTTACACACCGCACCATGTACTAATTTGAGGCTGAATCGACCCAGGGGAGGTCCAGAACCGGTTCAGGTAATTGTCACCGGTGTTGGCCGTGAGCGGGACTCGAACTTGGGTCGCCGGGTTCGTAGCGCGGCGTAGCGCTAACCACTGCACCACGGCTCCCCACAGGCACACGCCCGGAGATGGGTGGGGGTCCAGGACCGGTCCAAATATCACTCGCCACTGATGTGAGCTGTGGCTGGGAATTGAACTCGGGTCACTGGGTTCAAAGTGCAGCGTGCTTACAACTGCAACAACGTTCCATCCCCTGTTATTAATGTGTCTCCAAACAGGAGATTAGAGTGGCCAAGCTCAACCTTTTGGGAAATGAAATATGCTGACATTGCGCTTCGCTCATACATCTTTCTCCACGTGGAAAAATACAAGCAATTTCCCACATCCCATCGCCTCCCACGGCCTTCTGGGAGTTCTTAATTTCGGCAGTATTACTTCAGCACGTGCAAAACTTTGGACCGGTTTTCACATTCATAATCAACGTTTTTTGGTTTAGATCGCGTTATTTATAAATGTGTCGTAACCCTCCACCACCCGACACGGCCAATCAGTAAAAAAGTGTCACGTTGACAAAAGACAAATAGTTCACTGCTTTAGCCCACCGGTGTGTTGAAGCGTGAAACCACAACATTAAAAAAAATTAGTACGACGTTTCGCTGGTAATTGCATCCAGCATCATCGGGCAATTCGCCAGGTTACGACACATTTATAAATAACGCGATCTAAACCCAAAAACGTTGATTATGAATAATATTGGTCGCGAAAGCCTGCTTGTTAAACGCTTTTCACATTCATTGTCTCATCAGCAGTCCGGCTCGCTTGACACCAATACTGGTGATATGGAAAAACAAACCGATCGTGTCACTGGTGTTCCCCCCCTCACTTTCCCTTTTTTAGTCTCCAAACATTAAAGAGAGGGGGCGGTTAAGAGCACGTGATTTTCCACGACGCTTGAGATCATAATACAGCGTGCGCACTGTGCTCAACCGCAATGCATTAATAATTTTTCAAAAAATTCAAGAACAAGAGAGACGCCGCGTGACTGGTGTGTGTGCTTCAAAGACTCGGCTTGCCACAAGCTACTTCAACCGATTGCAACGCAGCGTGACTCAGAAACCACACGGCGGCCAATGATACGGACATTTACAAAAGTCACGTTGCCGCGGGAGACGGCGGCGGCTCGGGGTAGGCCTTCATCCAGCAGTGGGTAGATCGTGGCTGATGAAAGTCGAGGGAGAGAGGGCACGAATGCATCGTTGCTTTATCTGATTTTGTCCCGCAGTGCCGAGTGGTTATTCATTCACAGGATCGCCTTCCGAGATCAGCACCTCTCGCCAAGGGCCCATCATCTTCTGCCGAGGGTCAATAAAATGGGTACCAATTTCTCTGCATGTCTGTGTAGAGACACCGACTTCGCGTTCACCGGAGTCGGGTGATGTGCATGGTGAGGCCTTGTTTGGTTTCACTCGAGTACATTCCCGGTCTGCCTCTTGCTGTCGGTACAACACATTTTTCGGCCAGTGTGTCATGTGACGTTCTTCATGTGCTTGTGTGTGTATATATGTGTACGGCGTATTTGCCTTTTACCCTCTTAATTCCTATTTGTCATCAACTATCGTGGCACGAGACGGATGCGTTTGTAACTTGGCAGCTTGTACGGCATCACGCCGTGTCTTGAGAATGGAAGCTGACATGGCAGAACGACGTCTTAGAACTCTTTTCTATATCCCTCGGTCTACACTCGGAGGCACGTCTATGAACGCTCGACAAAGGTCGTTTATCACATGTGAAGTAGGACCACAGTTATTGGGGGTTTTTTCAGAGCGAGAATTCGCCAAGATGCCAAATTGTGAACGTGCCACCGAATGTCGTGCGACTTTCAGTGTGGTCATTGGTGTCCGGGCTGGCATCCGATAAACCTCTGCACTTGAGCTGCCGGTTTAATAAACGGGTGGCTGAAACATCGCTTCCCAAACCTCGGCTTTCCGCAGTGTCAGCTCGCAACTCTGACCTTTGAGGCACCCGTGGTCATGTCAAGTTGCACGTCTCATTCCCAATGTAAAACGATGACAACACTGGTCAACACACTTTTTTTTGGCATAAGGTATTCCAACGGTTTTAAGGTAAGTTTGGGGTGCTGATTCCAAATCTGGCATCAGTTTTTGTTTATCACATCAGGTTTTTGAGATATGAAATATTGCATTTTCAATAAAAACTGCAGAAGAAAAATATTAAATAAATGTGGATATCTACATAAAATTATATTATAAACACACTATCCTAAAAATACAGCACAATATTTTACCACTAAAGCAGCCACTGACTCGCAACAACTTGCAATCATAAGTGACAGTTAATTTCGGGTCAAATCAATGAAAATGGGGTATGCCGATAGCATAAAAATGGGATGTGAAAGAGCAAATCTGAGATCAGATTTGGAATCTGCACCCTGAAATTAGTCTAAAACAGCTGCAAAAGTCCAGGCCGGAAAAAAATGTTTTTTGTTGTTGATCAGTGCAATGTTTTTAAGTCAAACTACAAAGGAAACGGTGCCGCCTGGAAGCTTTATTAACATGAAAGTGTGTCTACATTTGAATGCAAAATGTAAAAAACACGGTATGCATTCAAATTTACTCCTTGACGTCTGCTATTTCGAGTCCATTTATCTTTTTAGATGTACGGCCCATTGTGTCATTGTAAATCATGGGCGAACACTGCGATTAGCATCTTCGTAAAGGAATAATGGGAAATAGTAAAAATGAAAAAGCAGTTGATGATGTTTGCAGATCTTAACGCGACGCACGTGTGCGGTGTTGTGGAAACAGACGATCGTGCGGCAGATGAGACGCGGTGCGTGGTGTCCAGGAGGAGGAGGAGTGGTGACAGTGACGTTCATTACATAAATACGCTGCCAGACGTGATGGGGAAATAATAGTCATGAAGCAGGCAGGGTGACAAACGTTCCTCCCAACATCTCATTTCATTCTCAGACCGGTTTTGTGTTTTTTTATTTTACGTTTTGCTTTTTTGTAATGCTGCTTCCGGTTGTAATTGGCCGTTTCGACCATTGCGATGGCCTTTTCATCCGTCGCGTCATTGTGTTTTTTTGTTTTTGGCACGGACAGTGGTGAAACGACACGTGGTACACTCGACAGCAGGAACACTGCGCAAGGCGTTCACTCGCCATGCGATTGGCGCCACAAGATCCCCACTCGCATCACGCAATCGGTTGCTGCGCTGAACAGGATTGCAACAGGATTTATACCTGCGTTGAACAGGATTTATATCTGCGTTGAACAGGATTGAACCCGTGTTAAACAGGATTGCAACACGATTGAACAGGATTGCATCCGCGTTGAACAGAATTGCAACAGGATTGCAACAGAATTGCACCTGCGTTGAACACAATTGCAACAGGATTGCAACAGAATTGCACCCGCGTTGAACAGGATTTCAACAGAATTGCACCCGCGTTGAGCAGGCCCTCGGATGTTTAAAGAGAATCTGCGTGGCCCAAAACATGCAGCAGAATGATAAGAATAGTTCCACTCTGCACGACCAAAATACATCATTAAAATAACCAACGCGAAATGTTTTAAAGCTGCGAAGGCGCCAACAACAGGCGTCTGGGCGAGCCTAGGGCGCCGTACAATTTCCATCTTGGGCCTCGTTTTGTTTGTTCGCTCCCCCGTCTCTGTCTTGCAGGCAAAGTAAACTTCCCACTTTGATTTATCTCCAGCTCCACCTCATTAACGAGGTGGCCAGCCCGGTGGGAGGGGCGCCTGGTAATGAGGCGGGGAGGTTTACAGGCCGAGCCGGCTGTGGCTTTTTTTATATCTACACTTTTAATAAACGCAAGGTCATTTGCAAACCGTGGAAGCACTTAACGGCGCTTAACGCAGCAAGAGAGGTGCTTACTGAAGCAAAATTGTTAGCTCGCCGATTATGTATTTTTCT